GATGTAATATTCAAGAAGAAAAAGAACTAACCTTCACTGCTCCGAGCCAGATACCCAAATAGGCCGCGGAAGGCTGCATCAACATAAAAATCACATCACCTCGTTTCAGTCCACAGCTGATCAGATGGTTGGCCACCTTATTCGAATAGGCGTCCAGGTCTCCCAGTGTCCAAACCTGATCCTCGTGATAGATTGCTGTGGACAAACGACCATGCTTTTTGACTGTGCGTTGAAAAATCTCCGCAAAGTTCTCTTTCGTAAAGTGTTGGTGATACGTGTGGTAGAGAATCATACCAAGACATCGTAAACCTCTGATAGGTGGGGGGGGGGGTGGGGAGAACAAAGCAATTTCAATAAACGACCGACATACACTTCTCATCTTGATTCTTCACAATGATACTGGATATCAAAACAGATTTTGATAGATTCAACGAAGGTACACGGAATTTCCAGTAGGCTTCTTTCAACCAAGAGACCCAGCTTCCTAAAGGCTAATCCATACGCTTGTCATTTTGACAAATCATAAACAACTGAGATCATATGTCCTGGGTGTATTGTCACTAACTTCAGGAGACTCACCACACTAAGGCACTAAGGTAGTGATGAGCCTACCGGTGGGTGTGGCAGGTGAGCTGATCCATATAAGAGCAGGAGGCATAGAAATCGATCTTGAGTTGAAAAGAAGAATTTAACAACCAAAAAACACACTGGAACGTCAGATGAAGGAAGTCACAGGCTAGGTTTCATTCTGGAACTTGGTTAAACAAACAGAATTGGTCCCTTCACCGATGGTGATCGCTGCTCAAACTTTGAAGTGCGTCAGATATGACGACAGGGGACTACCACCTAAGAATTTAACGCAGTTGAATAACTGAGGCTGCCATTCACCGAGGATTACAGACTTGCTATTTTGCAAAAAGTTTCTATTATTAGCTGCTTGAAAAGGCCTTCGACGCGAAAACAGCGCAACGTCCGGATCAAGAACGTTTGAATGACTGTGAAACGGTATAACCATGCATGCCATAGCTGACAAAAAGGTGTAGAAGCTGTCGAGAAATACACACAGTTGCAAATCAATTTGGTTTTCACGCGAAACTCAATTGAATCTCTCGTTTATATACTGCGATATCTGGAATATTGTGCCAACTGAATCATGAGGCGGCCTGTGTGCAGCACATTCAGCTGGAGAACATCATAAACGAGAGATTCAATTGAGTCCCCCGTGAAAACCAAATTGGTTTGCAGATGAGT